ATAGGGGTGCCATAGGGAGTAGTGGGGGGATCTTAGGGGAGGTTGGGGTATCAGTGGGGGGCATGAGGTGCTATTGAGAGCCTATAGGGAACAATGGGGGAGTTTATGGGGCGCTATGGGGACCTGGAGAGGCTCCCTATGGGGCTGCGGGGGTTTTATATGGGGCTCTCCAGGGTCTCTATCGGGCTCTATGGGTCTTTGGGGTTTCTGAGGGGTTCTATAGGAAGCTCCGGGGCTTCTATAGGATCTCCATAAGGATCCATTGAGGGTTACAGGATCGCCATAAGGGGCCCTATAGAAATTCTGCAGGGCTCTACGGGGTCTCTAAGCGGCCATAGGTTCTCTGCAGCTCCCTACGGAGCTCGGAGGGAATCCCCGCTGGGTTCCGGACCGTGGGGCCCACCGGGTGAATCCGACCGCACAGCGCAGTACCGGACCCGGGGGTCCCACGGCGGAGCTGCGGAGCTCCAAACCGCCGCGGGATTCAGGGCCGGGCTCGGGGCCGCGCCGTTACCGTCCGCATCGGGGCCGAGCGGCTCCGGCTGCTGCTGAGGGACCTCCGCCGCCATCTTCCGCCGCTGCCCCGCCCCGCGCTGCTCTTCCGGGGCACCGGTGACTGAGAAAGAAGCACTTCCGGGGCAACGGCCGCCCCGCCGGAAGTGAGCCCTGGGATATAGATGCCGCCCCTAGCAACCGCTGGGAGTGGAAACCCCGCCCATAGCAACCAATCAAGATCCTGGCAACGGACACGCCCCCTAGCAACAGGGAGAGTCCGTAGAGACGGGCTGGGATCTTGGCAACGGGAAACGCCCCTAGCAACAGGAAACGCCCCTAGCAACCAGCCCGGCCCCTAGCAACAGGAAACGCCCCTAGCAACGGGGAAGGTCCCGAGCGACGGGAAACGCCCCCTAGCAACCAATCTGACCAATGACCGCCCCTAGCAACGGGGAACCGCCCCCGTCAACCGCCAAAGATGCCCCAATCTGCAGCGTGACGTCACATAATGACGTCAACCCCCCTCAACAACACACACACACACAAAAATTGGAGGAGGACGCGGCCTAAGCGGCCTTTATTGGGGATGGGGCGCCCGTAAGCCCCAGGTCCGTGGAGAAGAGGTCCGTGACGGCGTTGATCCCAGAATGACGGGTGAGAATTCACTCCCGCTTCTTGTAGTCCTCGAGGTGCGCCAGGACCCAGGCGGCGGGGCCCAGGCAGGTGACAAACATGGCGACCAGGCCCACGACGCGCTCCTGAGGGCACATCGGCAGTCAAAAACCCTTTCTCCAAGGTCACCCCCCTCCCCGAGCCGTCCCCCAGAGCTCACCGCGGTGCCCAGGGGATGCTGGGGCGGCCCCGAAACGATCCCACGCGGGGCCGGACCGGGCCGGACGGCGGAGCGGAGAAAAGACCGGGCGAAGCGTCCGAGGAGCGGCATGGCAGCAACGACCTGAGCGATGCGGAAGTGCAGCCGCACTTCCGGCGGAAGGAGGGAGGTGGGAACAAGGAAAGATCTTGCGCTGCTATTGGTTGATAGGAACCGCTCCCTCAAAGCGCTCATTGGACAGAGCCCTGGGGGCCACGCCCCCTCAGCAAACCACGCCCCCTATCGCCCCGGAGGGCCGAGCGGTGCGGTGCACGCCGGGAGGTTTCTTTCATTACTCGGGGCCGCGCGCGCGGGGGATGCTGGGAAACGTAGTCCGATAGCACAAACTCTACTGTCTTTATTTGTAACATACAAACCAGAGCGGCCAAAACCGAGAAAAAACAGGCAAAATCCTTCTTTAAATCCCCAAAGTGAGAGCCCCACCCCAAAGCACGTGGGCGGAGGGGTGCTAAGGGTCACCCTATGACGGTGAATACTACCTGAAGGCCCCCAAAACACGGAGGTGACAAACAGGGGAACGCAGCCAGGCTGGCTGAGCCCAATTTTGGGTGAAGATACGATGGATTTGGGTGTAGGGGCTCAATGGCAGCAGGTACCGCAGTGCCCACCAGCAGGGAGTTGGTGACCGTCACCGAATTTCGTCCTCCGGCTCAGGACCTCATAGGAGCAGTCGTCCCCACAGCAGCCTGAGACACTGGGTGAGGAATCATCGATGTCAAACCTGGAGGAAAAGGTGCAGGAGGTCAGCAGAGGTTCTGCATCACCCCCCTGGGCAGCTGTGGCCTTCTGGTGTGGGGGAAAGGAGGGGGTGGAGGTGGGGGAGTTTGGATTGAGGGAGTGAAGCGCTCGCGCGAGGAGATCAGAGGGGCAAAAACACCAAAGGGGGGTAAAACCTGAGGCCATGGGGTGAAAAGAGGGCTCAAAGATCCCTAGAAGGAGGTTAAAAAGCATCTGGAAGGGGAAAAATGGGCTTAAAATCAATCTCCATAATGTCAAAACAGAAAGAGGCTCTAAAAAGCCTCGAAGGAAAAAAAAAATGGGGAGCTAAGAAAAAGGAATAAAAAAAACAAACTGAAGCCTGAAGAATAAAAGGCTTCTTTCCGCTGGAAAGAAATAAGCAGAAGTAAAATGGGTCCCAAAAATGGTCCTGGAAGCACCCAGAAGAGATGAAATCCAACCCCAGTTATGGGCCAAAGCACCTCAGCAGAGAGGGGCAAAAAGCGACAACAAAAGTAATAAAATCTCCCACTAAAAATGGCCTTTAGAGCAAACAAAAAAAATACCCCAAAACAGCAAAGAGTTCAGAAACCTCACTAAAAAAAAAGTTAAAAAACCTCACCGAAAAGGGGCAAAAAAAACCCAACAATCCCAAGAAACAGAGGAAAGTCCTCCGTTAAAAGGGCTAAAAGCCCTCAGAACAACAAAAAAAGTCCTGGAAAAAATAAACAACAAATAATTAAGCAGCAAAAGGTTGAAAATCTTCACTTGAAAAGGGTTAGGAAAAAAAAACCCAACAATTCAAGAATAAAAAAAAATAATATTCACTAAAAGCGATGCTTCGAACCGCAGAAAAGACCCGAAACCCCACCGAAACGGCTTAAAATCCCTCAACTGATCAAAACTGTGTCAAAAACCAACCAAAAAATTGAACGGAGAAGTTGTAAAAAGCCCCAAATCTGCCTCAAAACCGCAGCAGGGGGGGCCCCCACGCACCCACCTCTCTTGGCTGCCGGCCCTGTGCCCGCCTGCCCCGGCCCACGCCCTCACGTCGCCAGCGCGCTGCAAGACAGACGTGGGGACACCACGTTATGGGAAGGGGAAAACGGGGTGAAAAGCAGCGATTTTGGGGTTTTTTTGTTTGTTTGTTTTTTATTTTTGGTGATGCTTACTGCAACGCTTCTCGGAAGAACTGATAGGCGCCGTGGTTGTGCTTGAAAACTGTCAGCATCACTTTCTTCATCTGCGTGCTGCGAGGATGCGGTTAGAAGGAAGAATGGTGATGAAAAGATCTGGTTTTCAGCCCAAAAAATGAGCGTGGGGTGAGCTGCTCCCACCCTAAAAATAAGCCCAGTCCATCCTTACCTATTGGCCACCAGCTGTAGGATCTGCAGGAGGAACTTGCCCAGCCCTTTCCGTCGCACTTGGCTCTCCAGCTGCACTTCGTAGCTGTGGGTAACAGCCCAGCTGTTGTTTTTTTGGGGGTGAAATCACATCATTTTGGGCTACGTGGAGCAGCTCCATCCCGGCTCTACCTACCAGTACAGAACCTCATCTCCACACTCGACGTCAAAGCGGAAATGGGAAAAGGCAACAGGGCGGGCGCCGGGCTCACGTGCAATCAGGAACCAGGCACGCTCATCTGTCAGCTCATCCCTTTTCTCCCTGTCCTTCCAACCCCATTCGCTCTGTTCATACCTGCAAGGAGACCGTGGGGCCCTGAGGTATCCATCCTTGAGTTTTTTTTGGGGTGAAATCATTGGGTTTTGGGTACGCTTACAGAGTCTGCATGTTGGTTTTGGTCAGTTCGAACGCCCAGTCAACCGTGGCTCGTTCCAGGCTGGAGACACGTTTGCATTCGATGGAAACGTTGAGGCTGTGGGAGGAGGGAGAAGGTTGGAGCTGGGGGGTGCTGGGGGGCCCCCCTGTTGCTGGATGGGGGGAGGGAGGCACTGGGAAAGGACCAGGGGGGAGCTGGAGACACTGGGAAGAAACTGGGTGGGCTTCAAGAGGTCTGAGGGAAACACTGGGAGAAGATAAGGGGATGAAGGTGAACGCTGTGAAGCAACTGGGAAGGGGATTAGAAGGGCTTAAAGGGGGCTGGGGGGAGAGGATCAGGAGGCAACTGGGAGACACTGGGAGGGAACTGGAGTGGCTTGAGGGCGCTCACCCATTGCGATCATATTTCTTGAAGACTGGAAAGGCTTCGAGGGGATCTTCCAGCTGCAAGCAGAGGGAAAAAAAGCAAAGAGCTGCCCCAGAAATAGGTTGGGGAGGGGGGGGAGGAAAAGCAAGAGCGGCCCACGCTGCCACAATGGGCATCTCACCCCCACCCACACCCTGTTTTCAGCCAGTTTTCACCCTAAGGATGCTCACTTTGTTGGCAGCCTCCACCTTGGCGCAGACAGCAGCCATGGCTGCGCGCTCCTCCAGGCGTTTCTGCTTCTTCTCCTTGGCTTTGCTCGATTTCCTCTGAGCAAGAAAAGGGAAAATTCGTTAGGATTATGCTTTATTAAGCTGAGGAAACCCTACCTGCATCCAACAGAATTCTTTCTACTATGCAAAAAACAGCAACCAAGCAGCCCAGCAGAGGAAAAACGAGCAAAACCCACAGAGCACGGGAGATTTGTCCTTGCAGACAAAGTGATTTTGCAGGGGAAATAACATTTTAAAAGATGGGGAGGAGAATGAAAGAGGAAAGCCCAGATGGAGAGGAGGGCAGAGAATGAAAGAGGAAAGCCCAGAGTGCCAACAACCCCATCGAAGGCTCCGAACACGTTGAATTTCAGCAGCAAATTGGATTCCTGGGTTTCATCTCCACCAAAACAAGACTGGAAAAGCCCCAAAGGAAAACTGCACGCTGTGCTGTGTGGGGTGGGGGAGGTCAGCCCCACATCGCCCCACATTTTGGGGGTGGGAGGAAGGGAGGGGGGGGGTTCTGGTGCAAACTGAGCTCGTGGCCAGCTGGGATAGAAGCTCCACAACCACCAATATGGGTTAATTTTGGGGGCAGAGGGGATGCTTTCCTCCAATATCCGGAGATTTGCCTTCATGGCCAGCTTGGCGCTGCCCCCAAACCCCCATAACCACCCCAAATAACCCCATAACTGCCCCCAAATGCCCAGACCTCCACACAGGGCCCCATAATTGCCCCCCCAGGGGCCCTATAAGTTCCATACAAGACCCCATAACTGCCCCCAAATAACCCCATAATCACCCCAAACACCCAGACCTCCACACAGGGCCCCATAACCACCCCAAATATCCCCATAACTGCCTCCAAACCTCCACACAGGGCCCCATAACTGCCCCCCCAAGGGCCCTATAAGTTCCATGCAAGACCCCATAACTGCCCCCAAACGCCCAGACCTCCACACAGGGCCCCATAACCACCCCAAATAACCCCATAACTGCCCCCAAACCCCCATAACCTCCACACAGGCCCCATAACTGCTCCCCAAATGGCCCTATAACCTCACCCAAACAACCCCATAACTGCCCCCAAACCCCCATAACCTCCACACAGGGCTGCATACCTGCCCCCAGATAACCCCATAACCACCCCCAAGGGCCCCAAACCTCCACACAGGACCCAGTAACGGCCTCTAAATGACCCCATAACCACCCCAAATGGCCCCATAACTGCCTCCAAACCTCCATACAGTGCCCCATAACCGCCCCCCAAACAACCCCATAATCACCACCAAATGGCCTCATAACTGGCCTCATAACTGCCCCCCAAACAACCCCATAACTGCCCCCAAACCCCCAGACCTCCACACAGGGCCCCATAAC